CAAAACTCCTCCGCGATGCCTTGTGAAAGCTCGAAAGGGAACTATAAATTTGCAAGGTTGCACATATATTAGAAGTTCTCAATTAAAAAAAAAAAGCTATCTATTATTATTATTTATTTGTTGTATTTATTATTATTATTATTATTATTATTATTATTTATTTTGTAATGATGACGTTCATTTTTTTTGTAAACGGTCTCTTTAAAGCAGCACTATGTAACTTTTTCAAAAGTTACTTTGTTCAAAATTTGCAAAATGTATATAATGAGCGAGTACATCATGAATTCATCTTCCAAACCGCGTTTTTGTCTTATTCCGAATCACTACGGTACACTTATAATAAGTACTTATATTTGGACTATTGTAGCCTGGTCGGGTCGTCACCGCTGCGGAGTAACACATACCTGCGTGAATCGCCATAGACATAAACTTAGAGAAGTAGCTCCGGTTGGAATGTTCTTCATTCTATCTTTCTGTCATTGCACCGGGTTTGTAGTTGATTAATGACATAAAATGCATTTGTTTGTTTGAAGCACTTTCTTTTACTTCACTACACCTTTTCACAATTGTTATTATTATTGTAATCTGGGCATAATAATATAGTCTACACATAACGATTCCATAAAACCTCATTCCTCTTTATAAAATAATAATAATAATAAATAGTTTTTTTTTTTACTAATGTTTATATTTAATTTTATTTCAGCTTTATTTTAATTAACAAAAATGTTTTAATAGTTTTAGATGCAGTATATCGTGTCACACTATTAGTGATTCACATTCCAACCTCTTATGGATTAATACAAATAAAATACAGGAAGTAATCGTGACCTTGTTTTTTCTGTCTCTTTAGCTGATGCTTCAAAAGCCTAAGTGAGGACACAATGACAGTCACGAGGGCAGCTGTGAAGGTGGTGCGTTTAGGGAGGATTTCCTACCGCAGTGCCTTGAAGGTCCAGCAGCAGCACATAAAGCAGCATCTGGATTCGTCCAGCTGCAGCCCAAACACTTTATTACTGTGTGAACACGAGCCTGTGTACACCGTGGGCATCAGACGGGCTCCTCACCCTCCTGAGGAGGAGCAGAGACTCAAAGCGCTGGGCGCAGACTTCTTCCGTACCAACCGAGGAGGTCTAATAACGTTTCACGGTCCTGGTCATCTGGTGTGTTATCCCGTCCTCAACCTGGCCTGCTTTAAGAAGAGTGTGAGATGGTATGTGTGTGAACTGGAAAGGACGGTGATCAAGATGTGCATTCAATTTGGGATCGAAGCCTCCACTTCTCTGGATACAGGTGTCTGGGTGGGCGACAACAAAATCTGTGCAATCGGTAAGTACATTTTTAATTTTGTTTTGTTTTTTTCTTTATATGCGTTGATTACAGGTCAAAAGTTTGGACACCTCTGTTTGTAATTTATTACTATTATTAATTTGCCCACTTGGAATAATAGTGTCAAATCTGGGGATTTGTGTATTGGAATTATTTTTATATTTGTTTACAAAAGTAATTTAAAACATATCACAACTAAAATAAGAATTTTGGATGAATTTCCTTCCAAAAAAAAAAAAAAAAGGGTTGTAATTTTTTAATAGTCTGTCCCGCTCTAGCATTTCATGAAGTACAATATTTGAACTATTTGTTGTTGTTGTTTTTTTATTCACATTTATTTATATAGTGCTTTATACAATGGAGATAGTTTCAAAGCAGTTATTTAAAATGTTCTTCAAAGTATATGTAAATGTTATTATTATTATTATTATTATTGTTGTTGTTGTCATTATATTTTTGAAAGAAGTTTTACCAAGGCACACCACGACTGCATTCGTTTGATTTGATTAAAAATACAGTACAACTTTCTTTTTGTGACTTTTCTTTTGTTGTTGTTGTTTTTTACAATTTAACTTTACTTCTTAATTCTCAATTTTAATAAACTGCAAAATGTAGTTCAGTGTCACATATTTCTTCAGAAATCACTCTAATATGCTGATTTAGTGCTCACAAAACATTTCTTATTATTATCAATGTTAATATATTTGTGGGAGCCATGATTTTTTTTAGGATTTGTTCAGGATTTTTTTAATGAATAAGAATATAATATTCAAAACAATGTTATTTATTTAAGATTCTTAAAAGTATTTATTTTTTTGTAACAATGTAAAAGCCTTTTCAGTTATTTTGATCAATTTAATGCATCTTTGTTGAATAAAATAATTAATTTCTCTAAAAAATAAAAAAAAATCCTACTTTGACCCTAAACTTTTGAATGGTAGTTTTCCCACGAGCATTTTCATTGTTACAATTTGTGTTCTTTTCATTGGTCACCTAGAAATAGTGCAGAATATTCAGAATATTAATTTTAGTTTGTTTTATCATTTATTTGTTTAAAAAAAAAAAAACACGACACCGTTGTACCTTTTGTCAATGAAATAAAGTTCAAGAGAAGACTGAGATAAAGTATTAATATTTTGTTTTACAGGTATTCATTGTGAAAGATACATCACCTCCCATGGACTGGCTCTTAACTGCAACACAGACATGAGTTGGTTTGATAACATTGTGCCATGTGGGATTGTGGGTAAAGGTGTGACGTCACTGAGCCGAGAGCTGGGACGGGACGTCCCAACTGAGGAAGCCGTACCAAAACTGCTGGAAGCCTTTACTGAACAGTTTAACTGCACTTTAATATATAATTAATAAATGCATAATTTCAAGTGTTTGAAATGATTTGCTATTTATGTGCAACATCGTTTTACCTCTCTGGGAAAATACTGTGGTGGTACCATGGTACAGTGATGTTATCAGATGGAAATGGTGCAGCATGCTTAGAGTATTCATGGAGCAAAGTTGCTTCAAATAATAATTTGTCGTTCATGGTTGACCAAACAGATGTTCTTCATGGATTTTGTTGAGAAATGTTGCTTGAGCAAGTCCAGGAGTCAAAGTTCTTCACATTTTCAAAGGCAGGAGTGATACAATACAGCAATACATTTTAGGATCTAACCTCAAACTAATGTAAAATATAAATACACTAATACTAAATATAGGCATATGCTAAATTAATTGAGGATAAAATACTAAGATCCAAACTGATCATGAAAGAAAATAATAATTGTGTTCCACAAAATAAAAGTAGTTATCAATAGCAGTATCATTGATTATCTTTCAACACACTTATGTTCTTGATTTCTAAACAAAATGTCTGTAAAGAGGAGGGTATTTTTATGTATTTTATTTTTATTTTATTATTAGACCGTATGTACTCTACATGGGTAAGAAATGTATTTATAAAACGGAGAGTTCCAGTCCTTGATTCTGATTGGCTGAGCCACGTTCGAAGCTGTTGTAAAATACTCTACAAACACACACCTTTGTTTACTTCTGTGTGTTGCTCGGCAACCACTTTGTTGGAACCACAACTGATTCTGAGGAACTACATTGTTTGGTGGAAGAATACTGTTTTTATTAATATCATTACACTTTATTTGCTCTGTTTTATTTTGGTGGAACCTTACTACGTATATGGAATAACCGTTTTATAAAAGCAATAAGCCCCGTGAAGCCGTGGTTTACAATTAATTTATAACAGCTAAGGGGGTTTTAGCTCCGCTTCGCTTCGTGCCTAACAACGCCCCCTAGCTGTTATAAATTCACTGTAAACCATGGCTTCAGGGGGCTTATTGCTTTAATATAATTCAATTTATTGAAGAATCCTGGACAATAATAATAATAATAACAATAACAGCAACTAGTGTCCAAGAAATAAAGAAAGAAAGAAATGGAGCTGCACAACTGTTTTTAAGATTG